ATGATTGATGCTTCATCAGCTGCTGAGTCATCTCCAAGGAAGGCAGGTTGAAATCTCCCAGCATTATAAGTCTGGGAAACCCCATTGTCAACTTGATCAGAGTTAAGCAGCTGAGAGGGAGAAGCTCCTATGCAGCACAGAGATAATACCAATAACAGCCTTTGATCCCATCTTCACCAGCAGAGTCTCCATCCAGGTAACTAGAAAGTTGTGCCTGTGAAAACCACAAGAGTCTCCCTTATAGCCAATCGATAGTGTCTACTGGTTTGGGGCTCATGCATACATTTATGAGAGCAACTCTCTATCCTGTTCTCAATTACCACATGATGAAAACATGCATATTTACCCAAATATAACTCTTTTACATCAGTTTTACTTCATTTAAATCTGGTTTTTTTTATACTTTATACTTTTTGTTTTTCTAGTGTTTTTAATATAGTTTTATATTTATATGCTTTCATTATTTTCACTATTACCCAATTTAGGAACCCTTTAGGAGTAGAATAAGTAACAAGCAACATGATAAATGTTTTTAAAATTATTTTGTACCATTTCCTTCCCCTGCTTTTTAAATTACAATGCTTATCAAAGCTGAGATTGTCTGGCTATTTAAATGTTGTGGCACATATTTGTATTTTTCTTTTGTTGGTTATTCTAGTAAAAAAAACCCCAAAATGTAGTAAAAATTGTCTAAACAATGAAGCAAATTAGAAATTTGCTGCACTCTCTAGTAATAACACCATCATTAGATAAGATTTGACATGCACCCAGGATAAAAAGGTGTTTTTGATTATAATACATAGATTTCTATGAGCATTCATATGTATGTTTATGCAATACTTAAAGAACTATTTTGAACAAAAAATACTTCCTTTAGTGGAAGATATTTATATTCAGGTCTCAGATACAATCTGTTGTGAATGGAAGCATCTTGGCACACGGAATAGTCTTCTTTTGTGTATGCAGAGCCCAGCAATCTTCTCTAGCTGAAGCCATGGAAAGAAATGTTAATAACAGATGTGAAAAAAACACTGATCTGTACAAGCAATTGTCTAGATACTCTGAAGCCTAGGAGATCATCAATTTCAATCTGAAAACATTTTGTTCTTCTAAGATAATAGAGAACTAACCCCACATGGAATTTTAAAGTTCTAGTCTAGATGAACCAAAAGAGTTTCCCACAGTTCTTTCCCCCATTATCTGTAGAGGGCATAACAAACACATGCTTTGCATGCAGAAAAAGCTAACTTTGCTACTACCAGTATTTCCACTTAGGACAGGTGGGGAACTTGCAACCCTTGGGCTACATGTAATTTTGTACCCATTTGTTGTTCCCAGATCACTCAGGTTTACAGAGTTGAATTTTGATGGCAAAAGCAATGGTTTATAACCTTTTCCTACTTTGGGGGTAAGTCTCTGTGCCTGATACTATAAAAATGCAAAACATTGTAGGTCCACTAAGCTTTTGCAAGGTTTAATCACAAACTTATTTCTACGTTAACTGCTGCTGCTAGAAGCCTGTAAAAAAGAAAAAATAGTAGAAGTTTGGTATCACCCCTTGCAAAGGTCATTACCTCATCAGGCTTGCCTCACCAGGCCTGCCTCCCCAAAAGATAAGGTAGTAAAAGAGAATTGTCCTATTACCTTGGTAGTTATTGCCAAGGTAGCCAGATTCCTTTAAATCTGGTACTCTACAACAGTATCATCCAGCTAGCATAGCGAGAGGGATGATGCTAATTAGCATCCCAACAAACCTGGAGTGTGCTGTAAGAGGTCAGTTTGGAGAAGATTGCAGAAAATCATACTGGATTAGACAGGCAAATGTATATGAAGTCCTAATTTTAGAAAGGCCTCATCCTCAATGTGAGAATAGACTTCATTTTTGTAGCAGGTACTTGTTAACCAGTTGTTTTTTTTTAGTATGTTGGGCAAACAGAGCCACATGATAGCTTTGTGGACATTATTTTGTTTAGTGTACGCTGAACATGCATAATTGCTGGGAAGAAATCTTAATGCAGAAATAATCAGACATGGCTGGAATTGGGCCTATTGACCAGCCACAAAAAGCACAGGATCTATGTGCATTTTTAAGTTGTGTAGGAAAGGCAATGTCAGCACCTGGGTGGTTCTTACCTTTATATAGTATGCACTTCTTAATAAAGCCATCTTCTCTTCTATAGAACTATTAGCGAATGTGTGAGATGAACCTCCACTTTCCTACCCAGTAAGAAATATTCCTGAGGCATGGGTTGCTGGTACCGTATATACTGGATGTATTCACTGTCCCTGACTTGCCTGGAACTCCATTGGTCAGACTCGCCCCAATATACTTTGTTGCCTTAAGGCAACGGTGATTTCCCTCCTCCCCACTAGCCAGGATACTCATTTAACCAGACTGGTAGATGAATCTCATTGCAGAAGAAAGGATGGGAGAATAGTATCTTCCACTACACTTAAGGTAGCAGGCCAAAGCTTCGAGGCCCAGGGAAAGCTGCACACCAGGCTCCCTTTTTACAACATTTGCTTCCATTCCGAGCCAGGTTTTCTTTCTACAGACCTTTCTAGAGATTGATCAGTTGCATTTGGTAAGTTCTCGCAAAAAAAGGCCTTGTTTCTTTACGCGAATTAAAGCAACTCGTAGGACGCAGCCTTTCTCTTCCCTTCTCCCCCCACCCAGCCGAGCCGTGTCTCTTTAAAATCTGGAACACAAATCGCCATCCAAACCCCGCCCACCTTCCTCCACCTCCCACTATTCTGACGTCAGGAGGAAGGAGGGGAGGAAAATCATAATCAAAACGGGCGAGGAAGCGCAAAGGCGAAGCCCAGAAGTAAAGCGTTGTGCGAGAGAAGCGCTGCTCGGGCTGAAGGTAATTGGTCGTTTCTCCGGGAAGGGAGGAAGGATGCTGTGCAAATTGCAGCTAGCCAGCTTCAGGAGGAAAACGGGAGCTGAATAAGGGGGGGGGGGGGGGAAGGCGGTACGTTGAGTGTGTGTGTGTGAGTGTGTGTGTGAGAGAGGGAGAGGTTTATTAAGGTTTATTACCACGTTTTATGGCAAGATTCTAGAACAGGCTGGAGATTGAGAAATCTAACACATCTGAAGCACTATAGATTTGGAGAGGCTGTTTTGTGGCATTAGTAAATTATACACACAGGGGGAGAGAGGGAGAGAAATTATACACACAGGGAGAGAGAGGGAGAGTAAATTATACACACACACAGAGAGAGGGAGAGGCGCTGGAGCTGAATGCGTGGGATTCGTATTTATTACCATTGCGCCGGGACGAACAATTCCGCGTGTGGGATAACAGCCGAGTGAGATTTCGGATGTGCTCGAAGGATCGCGGTTGGATTCCCCCCCCCCCGCCGCCGCCGATTTGTCTGTGTGCGCGCTTGTGCACGTATTGTGCCTTTGAACAGCCTGTTTGTCGCTTTTTCTTTGAAGCTAGAATCAGCTGGGACGCCTTTCTTGCCTCTTACTCCGAAGGCAAAGGAGCCTCTGGCTCCAGAATAAAAGAGCCAGGAGGCATTTTCCCAATATGTAGTAGTCAGCTGGTGTAGCCCCTAATAGGGTATACAATTTGACAGGCAGGGGAGCAAGCAGCAAGGAGCCAGGATTTGAGGGCGGGGGGGGCGGCGGCGGAGGAAATGATGCGAAAACCGTAATTGGAGGTTTGTTTGTTTGCTTGCCTTAGAAAAAACCTAAAGGCGGCCTGTAGGATTTGTGAGATAATTCAGTCCCCCACCCCTTTTGGTCTTCATCGCGTCTCCCTTCACTTGCCTCCTAATGCCTGGTTTCCTAGTACTGAGGAGGTTTCTGTATTCAGTTCATAAAGATGGCATTCATCTATCTCTCCTTAGATTAAATAGTGGTTGCAAATGTGCCTGTTTAACTATGGCTCCTCCATTAAGGGTGCGACTGATTGTTCTATGTAGGGGAGTGGTAGCCCTTCGAGGAAACCCAGTTATTGGTGGGTGGGTTTTAAAAATTGTTTACTTTCAGAGATGTCTTTTGTATAGAAGTTCCCTTTTTTGAAGGAGTGCTGAGTCCTGCTGCAAATCTATAACATGGAAGTGAAAGTGATTTGTGTTTTCCTTTGCATGACCCTCTCTACCAGTCTGAGGAAAGGAATGAATAATTTAATCTGTAGCTGTTCGATGGCATTTATATAGTTTTGAACATTTAAAGAAGGAAGTACTGTATAAGTGAGGGACTATAAGTAATCAGTGACCCACAGCAAAATAAAAATGTGACATTTAATCACATGTTTATGGCTGTTTTTTTCTTTAAGGTTTATTACCATGTTTTATGGCAAGATTCTAGAACAGGCTGGAGATTAAGAGGAGAAATCTAACATATCTGAGGCACTATAGATTTGGAGAGGCTGTTTTGTGGCATTAGTAAATTATACACACAGGTGTGTGTGAGTGTGTATATCTGCATCTAAAATAGGCCACCAAAAGGGTAACTGTTGCAGTAAAAATAAGATGTGTCATTTTTAAGATTTAACATGGCCTTATACTTCTGTGGACCAAAAGTAATGTTAGCTGATAATGTATGGAACATTAACCGGAACTGGATTTATATTTCAGTCTTTTAATCAGTTTGTTGTACCACTCTGCCTATAGTTTAAATTGTTGATCTGCTTGAAGAGGGATCTTGCTATTTTTAATCAAGGCAACATTATATGGCTAGATATAGTTGGGACCAAAAATCTATTTTCTAATTCATTCCTGGCACTCTAAGATGAAGTGGGGGAAGGCTATATTTAAGTGTACATCTTTAATTGATGGAGCCATTT